GTTAATTTCTAAAACTCACCTTTATTTTTCTCTTGGAATCCGAACATCAATTAATATATAGGGTGTTTCGTTACAAAAAAACACAACTTTCATATGTAACTTTTTTGGGGGACGCCCTGTAGATCTCTCTATATTTAAAAAAATGCTATAAATTGACATATGTACAGGGTGGACTATTTTGGTTGTTTCTATAGGGTATCTAGGAAACCGTGAGAACTATTCAAATTTTGATACCGCAGTCTAGGGTTCTTTTTTTGAAAAAATTACAATGGCGTAAACGGATCGTGGCTATCTTGATCGGTTTCGAAGCTACAGGGCGATTCTCAAATTTTGTACTTTTTGAAGATGTTCGATAGTTTGTTTATTTCAGCAACCACGGAAAAATGAATTATACGTTCTAAAGGCACTTTTCTGTGTAGAATGCAGTGGCGTAGTCAGACTTTTTTCGAAAAAAATATTTTTTCAGATATTAACTATACTTATGTTTTTTTAAATAGAACCCCCTGTATATTTTTAAATTTTCTTGTTCAGCTTGGCATGGGCTTTTCGAAAATATATAACTATCTATATTTATTTTCACTATTAACCTCAACATTTCAAATTTTTCTTAAAATATCCACTTAGTGGATAGTAGGCCGCGCCGAGAAACAAAGTAAACGGTTGTCATGGTGATCGGAACATACCTTTGATGGATGCGGAACATTTCATTTCAACAGATTGAAGTGTGTGTATTTTAAATAAAAAAAAAATGAATAAATTTGAAAATTTTGAGAAATATAATATGTTAGAATGTTATATTGAGTCTAACAAACATAAGCAAATGGCAGCTGATTTATGTTTTGAGCGGTATCCAGAGCGCGAGCAACCAAACCCAGCCATTTTTAAAAGGTTAGAAGATAGTTTAATCAATTTTGGATCTTTTCAAAAACCGGGTCTGAAAAATTATCAAAAAGAAGATGAATAGAATCAATATATTAATGTCCTCGAAGCCGTAACACTAGACCCAACAACATCAAGTACAATAGAGCTATTGAAATTCTGTTAGCGGCGTGCGGAGACGGTACCAACTCTGTCTAGATAATAATGGGCAGCAGTCTGAACATTTACTGTAGTCTGTGTGTTTTTATTTTTTTTATATTAACTGAGAAGCCCGATTGAAGTAAATTCTAGTGTTTATATTAAAATATGTTTTTTTTGTTTCTGTCACACTTATTTTTTATTTGCTGGGTATTGTTTCATTTTACTTAACTCCGAGGACAATAATATATTGATTTTCTTCATCTTCTTTCTGTTAATTTTTTGGGACGCGGTTTTTGAAAAGATCCAAAATTGATTAAACTATCTTCTAACCTTTAAAAAATGGCTGGGTTTGGTTGCTCGCGCTCTGGATACCGCTCAAAATATAAATCAGCTGCCATTTGTTTATGTTTGTTAGACTCAATATAACATTCTAACATATTATTATATTTCTCAAAATTTTCAAATTTACTCATTTTTTATTATTTAAAATACACACACACTTCAATCTGTTGAAAGGAAATGTTCCGCATCCATCAAAGGTATGTCCCGATCACCATGACAACCGTTTACTTTGTTCCTCGGCGCGGCCTACTATCCACTAATTGGATATTTTAAGAGAAATTTGAAATGTTGAGGTTAATAGTGAAAATAAATATAGAGAGTTATATATTTTCGAAAAGCACATGCCAAGCTGAATAAGAAAATTTAAAAATATACATAAAATTTAAAAATATACTATTTAAAAAAACATAAGTATAGTTAATATCTCAAAAAATATCTCATTAATATATACTACATATATATATATATATCTCTATAATAAATAGAATACGCCACTGCATTCTACACAGAAAAGTGGCTTTAGAATGTATAATTCATTTTTCCGTGGTTGCTGAAATAAACAAACTATCGAACATCTTCAAAAAGTACAAAATTTGAGAATCCCCCTGTAGCTTCGAAACCGATCAAGATAGCCACGATCCGTTTGCGCCATTGTAATTTTTTCAAAAAAACAACCCGAGACTGCAGTATCAAAATTTGAATATTTCGCACGGTTTCCTAGATACCCTATAGAAACAACCAAAATGGTCGACCCTGTACATATGCTCACAAAATTTTATTTCAATACAAACTGTCGTTCTCCTTGAAGCCTCTGTGTCGCGTCGTATGAGAGGCGCCACCCTGTATTGACGTGAATGCACTAAATACAGGGTGTCCCAGAAATAAGTGCAAGTATTTTAAGGGATGGTAGATCTCGATAAAATAAACATATTTTCTCTTTATTGTTTTTCAAATAAGTCCAAAATAACGGAGTTATTTTACTTTGAGAATTAAAAAAAAAGATTTTTTGCTCAAATTTGGAGAACCACTGAATCTTTTCTGGATATTCTTTCTTGTAAATTTAATCTACTATCTATGTTGCCATATTATCAAGAAATTATGTTTTTTAACTAAAAACTAAAAAAAATCCAAAATTTTTTTCTACAACCTCATAGGCGTGTTTCTGGGGCCTATACTACCAATTAAAATACTTGCACTTATTTCTGGGACACCTTGTATAATAAAGCGGTAACGAGGTGACAAGCTGGGAATTAGACTGTTTAAACAGTAAAAGAAGAAATGTCAAAATTGTAGATTACAGGTCATGTTAGATCAAATCAACACCACATTCAGTGGTCAGAGACTATGTTGAATTAAAGTTTTCTATCAATATTTTTTTCTTAACAAGACATATGTAATTCATAAATTCATCATGATTTATGTCAGATTACAAGGAAAAAGAAACACCAACTGATTCGCTTGATACTATATCGTGTATTAAATAATTTAAAATAGTCGCCTGTCTGTTTTCCATGGCAAGCCGTAATTTTAAACGCCCAAGGTGTTTCGCAGGAACTAGTTTCGCCGTCGGCGTCGGCCTCTATGATAAGAACACATATTTTGATAGGCGACTCCCGAGCCAAAACGCCCGGAATTAACTGGCCGTTTGTCACGCACCACCTTCATTAATTTTACGGAGTCCCGGCCGAACAAAAAGCCGCGGCGAGGAGGCGGCGGCGACCGAAACAAATGACCCCAAAACAAAATACCTAACTATGTCAAAGTCAGATTTCTTAATGGCGGTTGCCTTGCTAACGCCGATAACGTAAGCATTTAAGACCGGTTGAAACTAGCATTTTAGAGATTAACTTAAGTTATACAGTATTTATTGCCTTTTTGAATTAGAGCCGTTTAAGGTTTTTTGATATACATATTTAACATTTCCTAAAAATGAAGAAAAAAAATTAAACTTCAATTTTTCAATTTCTATGGAGATATGTTAAAGACAGTGTTTAAAAAACTCGACCAACTATTGTCGACAACATGAGAGAAATGATTGTAGTTGCTTTTGGAAGTAGAACTCCACATACGCCTCTTAACATGAAGAGATCTTTTGAAAAATGAATCATATTATGTAGTGAACAGGAAATGAAGCATTTTCAGCATTTACTTTCATCTAGCTAATTTTTGTCATCACATGAATATACGTTTATATCTAGTTTTAATTCTGTAATAATTAAAACATGTTTTATATGTGTATCTTATTATTATCGTTGAATATATTATTTTACGTCCAATAATTTTTGTTAAATTAACGAATCACAGCCACCTAGATTTTACCAAATAATAAAAATCTACGACTGCAAAATCATAAAAATGAAAATATCTAGGAAAATCATTGTCCACATTTTATACACCGGGTAAGTATATACAGTGTAAGTATACCGTATTGTCGAAAAAGACAGCGTCCAGTTCGCTGGGAAATGACGATCATAACAGTCCCTATATAATTTTACATACAAAATGACAGCGATCTTTATTTCTAATCCATCTCTGATGCCTTTATTTTGTTTGTATGGTGCTTTAAACGTTATTTTGTTTGTATGGTGCTTAAAAACTTTAAAAAAAGTATATATTTCGATTAATCAATCAATCCCGCGATGCACAAAGTTATTGTAAAAAATTGATTTATAGATGACTTCTACTGTTTTGTGCTTTCTATGATTAGGCGTTAGTGGCTACAAATATAAACCATATTTGATTAGATATGCAAAACTTTACTAAACATAAACCGGAAATTTACATAAAGTATTATTAGATACTAACTAGCATCAAAATTATGGACAAATATAGATACATTATTTCCTCAATTGCGATGCTATAAGTTAGGCACTAGTTAAATGCCAATTATTAAAATTGACGAAACAAAAACAGAAGTTCAATGCTATATAGTTCAGTAATTGTAATAAAAACATCATTTGGAAACTCTGACATTTAGTCCATCGATTAAACTATGCATTTAAGTATAATTTTGATTCAGTTTGAAGATATTGGTACAAACTGGCTGAATACATGTTAATTTTTAAGTTAACAATATTTGTTTAAACCTTTTTAAAAATGTCTAGGTTTTGAATTTAGTATAACCCTTGAAACCACTACACATTTGACACATAGGTACATATCCTATTGTAAAATCATCTGTATATATTGTCTTGGCCTATATTAAACTTAGTAATAGATTGAAATATAGTGCTAGGAAAAAAATCTAGTATAACCTATCCTAACCTAACTATACCATATTTAAATATTTTTTTTAAAGAAAATTGGTGCTGTAATTTATGGACAGTAACTTGATCCGTCTAATTTTAGAATCAGCTTAATTAATCTGATAGATGAAATAACAAGTGGGCATTAGTTTATATCATATGGAATGGAACAAGAAGTTGTTCTCACAGACCTATAAAAACGAGGCTTCAATTTCAATTCATCTTATTAAACAGTTAATTAATGGACATTAGAGTAGAAATATTAATGAATGTCTTGTGTTTTTTTTGTATAATACAGAACTTCAGTAACAGAACATTAAAAGAAATAAAAACCAGGTTTTTTGTTTGTTGTAAACTTTGCTAATTACATTTAATAGCAGAGAAATTACTTACGTGCGTGAAATAATAGTAGTAAACTTTCATTCCTCTTTCGGCTGCCAATTCTGCAAAGTCGTTCATTGGACAAATGAAGAAGTAATCACCGACGACATTTCCGACCATTTTTTGATTGAGATAACCATCATTTACATGTTCCCAGTTTGTATACTGGAAATAAAAAAAAAATGTTAGAAACTATAGAACTATTCATAGCTAAGGTTAAAAATAAATTAAGAAAACACGCGAATTGTCTGTAGAACATTGTCTATCATTTTATAGCATTTAGCACATTAATTTATTCGTTTTGGCTTATAATTTTTGTATTACGAATTAGATTTAAAAAAAAAGACATCAAAATTGTCTTGGAAATTGAAGACAGTCTGGCAAGCGAAACCTTGGGTCGGCGTTTACCTACATGTATAGAAGTGAATCGCTATGGCAATCTAGTAAGTCGGGGAGAGCAAAAATATGAAGTATTTATTACATAACCACTTAATATGACGCTAGATTCCATGCGCTTGAGAAAATACTTGTTCTTCTGTCTTTATTCAGTATATCTCATTTTACTAAGAAATCGGTACGCAAGGGCTGAAATGCCGATCCTAGTCAATCTTAAGGTCTGTTCCCAGAAGAATCTCTGACTAGTCAGCGCGTTTCTTATTGGTTGAAATGCGTAGAAACCTGACTAACAATCAGGTTTCTACGCATTTTAACCAATGAGAAACGTGCTGATTAATCAGGGATTCTTCTGGGAACAGACCTTTAATCATCTGCTGATGATGCTAACATGGTTAGCGAAACGCGCGTCCAGTGTAAAAGTAAACGTGTTTTGGTGTATTGTGGTGATTTAATGTTTTATTTTGCTGTGTAACACCAAAGGTTCCAATCCCCAACTGTAATCCCCAACTGTAATGATCCTAGTATGTAAAATTATATGGTAAATGTCATCGATCAGCATTTCCAAGCCAACTTAATGCTCTTTTTTCGATTAAACGGTATTTGGGTTACAAACAAGCTAGTTTTCGATATTGCATATAAAAAAAATTGTGAGTGCACTATGTGCGCATATTTGAAGTGAAACTTCTTACTAACAGCTATTAAAGTGAAGGATTTGAAGAATATATATATTTTTATGAATGCTTTTTATTAATTAATATAAAACCATATACTATTCTAGCTTTATAATTTTATAATGACATTTTAGTGTTTATTAAAAAAACGATAATTTTCTACATTTATATCTCTGACTACTACTAACTGCTACTAACCAACAATTTGTTTTGTGTGTTGTGTGGTCTGTTTTTGTTTAAATGTTTTGTTCATTATTCATGTCAGGAATTTATTTTTAAATTAATGTTAATCGTTAAGGCAACCAGTAATCTAAGGAATATGTATTTCTTTCGCATAATCAAAATTATCACTCTAAATTTTACCTAACCAAATTGTCACTCTAAGTCGCTGTCTTTTTTAGACAGATGTCACTTGTCTTGTCATTATTCAATAATGTCAGAATGTTGTTAACAGAAGTTTCATATTATAAAACTTTAATCAATCACAATTGTTTATCTCCATCATTTACCGGATTAATAATACAGAAATTACAGCTCAGTTACAAATAATTCATTATTTATAGTGATTTACAGTAATTTTATTAAATTATACGAATATTCTTGGAAAATACATCACAAATATCCAAGCTGAGCCATATGCTGTTGAAACCTGTGTGCTGCCTGCTCACCAAGGGATAGAAGGCAACGAAAAAGCAAATAATCTAGCTAGGAAAGGAGCGAACACTCCACTAACTGGACCAGAACCGTTCTGCTTTCCAAGTGGTAACCAACTCAAGGCGGAACTCAAGAACTTGGAAGATTCCATCCGCAACCTGGAATGGAAATCTTGCAATGGTCTAAGACACTCGAAGAAGTTTCTGAGGGCTTATGATCAAGAAAAATCACAGATCTTCCTGGGTTTAAGTAAGAACAATCTTCGGATTGTCACGGGGTTTTTAACAGGACACTCTCCTCAATGAACACCTCAGTAGATTGAAACTAAGAAGAAACGGCGAATGCAGATTCTGTGGGGAAGATGGGGAAACACCAGTACACCTCATCACTGAGTGCGCCGAGACGACAACCATTCCTGCCATGAATTTTGGTACGACTGATATTGGAGATAAAGAACTACCCTCTATAAAACCGTCCCAGATACTGGCTTTTGTCAAAGCCCTGGGACTGTATGATGAGTTATGATTCAAGAAAGGGGGACACAATGGATCTGTAAGGTCGAAGTGATTAACCCCCCTCCCACTCATTCTAAATTCTAAAATTCTAACCTGTGTGCAACTGCTGGTAGAACAGCAATATACCGGGAAAACAATAAGCATATTTTCGAATAGTCAAGCCGCGATGAAAGCACTTGATGCAACGAAAAGCACGTCTATGACGATTCTTCATTGTAAGAAACTACTCAATATATTAGAAGATAAGAACAAAGTGTCGCTAATATGGATACCGGGACATGTCGGTCTAGAGGGAAATGAACGTGCTGATTCCCTCGCCAAAACTGGTGCAGGCTCGCCCATTCGTAGGCCCAGAACAGACAGATACAGGGTTTTTAACCAAAGTTTTAGTAAATAAGAAATAGAGAGAACACTGCACAGTGCTTCAAATAAAAATAGTGTACTATATGCAGAATTTTATGCTGAATCCAATTATCTAAAGAAAATTGAGTGGTGCAATTTAAAAAAACTTAAAACTTTATCATAACTTTATTTTGTGATACCCTGTATACAACAAAATATTTTTAGGATATGCACCTTTATAAACCATGCAACATCTGTATAAAACTTTTTAAAATATCTTCGACAACGACGACGATATTGGACTTCCTCACACTAATGGGCCACCCTGTATATTGTAGAATGTAGAATGTTTAAGAGAGGAGTTAATTATTATTAATTAAGGAGCCAAACCAAACCAAACCAAACCGCGACTTTACAGCTCTATTGTGTGTTCCCCTTTCTTGAGTTATACCGAGTTATAACTCATCATACTGTCTCAGGGCTTTAACAAAAGCCAGTATCTGAGACGGCTCCATAGAGGTCAGCTCTCCATCCTCGACATCAGCCGTACCAAAGTTCATGGCACGAATGGTCGTCGTCTCGGCGCAGTCAGTGATAAAGTGTTCTGGTGTTTCCCCAAAGAATCTGCATTCGCCGTTGTTTCTCAGCTTCAGCCTGCTGAGGTGTTCGTTGAGGAGACAGTGTCCTGTTAGAAACCCCGTGACAATCCGAAGATTGTTTTTACTTAAATCAAGGAAAACCTTTGATTTTTCTCGGTCGTAAGTTATGAGGAATTTTTTCGAGTGTCTTAGACCGTTGGAGGACACCCACTCCAAGTCAAGGATGGAGTCTTCCAGATTCTTCAGTTCGGCTTTCAGTTGGTTCCCGTTTGGAAAACAGAACGGTTCTGGTCCAGTCAGTGGAGTGTTCGCTCCTTTTCTAGCTAGATCATTTGCTGTTTCATTGTCCAATTGCCACCTGTATATTATAACAATTTATTTTCTCAAATACACAAATTTAAATTATTAAAATATAAAGAAAAAGTTTTTTATGCCTTTTATTTCCATTTTGTATTCAGTCAAAATAATAATTTCATAAATCCGTTGAAAATAAATAAGTATTAATTTTTAATAAAATTCCATTATAATCAAATTAAATCTATTTTACAGTATTTACAGTAAATATATTTGATTATGTCGGAATAAATTTTGTTGGCATATAATTGCCTTATATTTTGTAAAAATAATAAAATCAAATGATTGAAAAACATGAGGAGAATTTAGCAGCATCGAAAATCGCCGCCGTAATAAATAGATTTTTAATAAAATTGCAATCGAAAACAAATATTCGCAAATTCCTATTGTACTTTGAAATAAAAAATACCGGGCGCATTTTCGAAATTTAATAAACGGGCATGTCATAATTCGAATTGTCTGAATAACCGAATTAAATTTAGAAATGAAAAGGTTGTTTTTGCAGTCGACAGTGAAGGATGAATTTTAGATGGTACAAAATTATTTTAAATAAAATTTAGATCCTATATTTGGATCATATTTAATTATTATTTTTTTTAGTTTATTAGTAATTACTCATCTCTTGGAATTAACACCATTCCTAGATTATTAGAGTTAACAAGATAACTTAAGCCGGGACCCCATTAGCCAATACCCGACGCCACGCCACGTCATGCCACGCTATCCTACGTGTTGCGACGTGGGAATGGGTGTACACATTTTGTGACACGTGTTAACACGCCTGAAATTTTTATTAGAGTTAAAAAAAGTTATCAGTAGGGTTACGACAATACTAGAAGTATCGGTACCTATACCGATATTAGATTATAATCATAATACCAGTATTATACCAGATTTTTAATAAGATCAATCTTTTGTTGCCGATTTTTTCTGGATCTATCTTGTTATATCCGATGTTGAATCGATTCAAAATATTGATTTATTTTATTTTTGGGACATCTCTACATCAACTACAAAAGTAGATAGATGCGGGACTAGAAAGGCAAGCGGGAAACACGCCGTAACATATCGGTGAGATTTGGGACACACGAATTGCTCATCACGCGTGTTATGGCGTCGGATGGCGTGGCGTGTTGCCTAGTGTGTACGCAATACATGTAATTAAATGGAAAAAAATTCACAGTCCTTTACAAAGATGCAACCGGGGGGGGCCTTGAAAATGATAAATAAAAACGTAAAAATATGATTAGTGTTAATATGAGTGTATTACATACATATGTTTAAATAACGAACGTTATGGATGAATGTTAAATAACGAAGTTTATGGCGCTCTTCTGTGACGGCTTTTTATGTCTTAATAATTATATATAGGGTATTTTAGAACTCGAACCAAAGTCGAAATTTTGCAAAATCTCAAAAAAGAAAATATCTCGAAAATAATAAATAGTAAAATGACATTTACCCTCTATGGATAGAACCCTACCTATGGTCCCATATAAACTGTATACTAAAATAAATAGCTTTGATATATAATTGTCGTTTTTCTTGATATACTTCCCTGATTTTATTTTATTTTTCCAGAGCACTAATACTCTCTTTATGTTATTTTTTATTCCTAGAAGGATGATTTGAAG